TCCATTATTTCCATAAAGTAATTTCAAAGAGCAGTGCACATACCTGATGAACAGAATTAGCAGGAGTCCCAGCTATAAAGGGTGCAAAAAAGTGAAGGACAGTTTAAAGACAGCAAAAATGTCAGCTTCAGTTTTGCCACTTTGCTAATTTTTAATTCTGTCAGTGATTTTTACCTTTAATTTTGTGGTTTCTTTCCTGAAAAATGACCCTGTTTCTATTTTTTTTTTAAGGTTAAACTAACAATTCTTATTTTTAAGAACTTACCAATCAAATGTGTCATGAAAAATAAAAATTAAAAAAAAAAAATCTTCTACCTACCATCTTTCTGTCCTGGTATTGTAATTTTTTAAGATACCAGTCACTTTGATATGCAGCCATCTCATATGAAACAGATTTTGCATAGTAACAGTGAATACTGACAAGCCTTTTGCCTAAATGGAGAAACAGCAACATCTAGTTAATTCTCGCCCAACAGTTCAGCGGTAATTAAGTGAAAATTAACCATCAGTGGAACCACAAATGTGGGCAGCATATTGCCAAATAAATTGATTTGGCAAGATTCTGTTTACCCCAGAAGCCAAAGAAACTGTTTCCCAAATGCATCAATTAGTAGGTGTACTCAGGAGTCCTCTAGGTTGATGGTACCAAATAAAAAAAAAATACATGTTTTTCACTTGTTTTCCAAGACTGCAAAATTTGAAATATCAGGAGCCATTTGAGTTTTCTTTCTGCCCCATAGCCTTCTCTTTTAAAAATACATATAATCATAAAATCTTAAGAAATTTTGTTAAATAAATTAATTTCAAAGGAAATCCTAACTACATATTTGTACCATGTTGAAGTCAGCTATAGCTTTTGAGATTGGCAAAAGGTAGGAAGCAAGGCTGTCAGTTTACTGACTTGCTGAAGCAATGAGTGGTACATGGCTGTGGTCAGGAGAATACCACCACCTCCAGACTCGAACCTATTCATGCCCAGAATCTCTGACGTCAGTTTATGTGCACTACCGTAGATTCATTCTGCACACAGGTATTGAATACATATTTAGAGTCAGTATTTTCAAAAGGAGTTGAAGCTGAAATAGCTGTAAATCTCCTTTTCACCTGCTGCAGAAATCTCAGGCACTGGGGTTTGTTTTTTTTTTTTTTTTTTAGTCTTTTAATTTCCTGATTTCCAGACACGATTTCACATTCTTAATGGGACTCCAAGGTGGGGATTTGGGGAAGGTTGCATTTGTTTCCAAGATTCATGTAGTTATTAAGAAAATTAGCAGACAAAACTCTACGTAGTTTTCTCCCTAAAAATGTGTTACTTGAAAGTACTAAGGCTAACAATGTTCACTTTAGCACACAGACCAGTGCAGAAATGACCATAAACCCACATCAACATCCTTTAGTGGGTTTCCAAACATCCTGCCATAGGCTATGGCTTGCCACCAGCTCTTGCAAAAGCAAGGTACTGACTGGCAAGGCTTTGTCTCCTCTTTGTGGCACAACGTGCAGTGTAGGAGTGCTTTGCTGGCATGTTTAGGACTCCAGCTTCGCAATGGGGTGGGCAAAGGATCTTGTCACTTAAGGCTGCTCTAGCAAGTGACACCTTCCTAGAAACCATGTTAACAATGGTGTTAAAATCCTGATCCAGATAAACAAGGGCACCAATTACCTAAGCTGATGCCATGCTGACATGTGTATGAATGCATTTCCAAAAGCAAGAGCCAGCTTTTCCATGCACGTGCTAAGGCTAACGCAAGGCTGAGAGTTGTCAGATAAATATTCATTGGGTTAAATAATACCTTTTGGCTCTCAGCTCTTCTAATTTCTTAACAGGAACAGCAGATATGGAATTGGAGTTTCTACAAGCTTTACTTACATAAGGGATTCCGGTGACGGATTGATGTCATTCAACCAGACCTACTCACGTGATCAGATCTTGTGCAATCAGCCTCTTATTTCTTTCCTACTTGTGCTCTAGGCTGAAAATTAGCATTGGGCAAGCCTCAAACAATCCGATTTGAATAACCAGAAGTTTGGAACACGTTTCTTGATGCTTTAAATCTGCCTGGGAAATCTCAGGAGAATTGGTACGTCAGCTGCGTAGACCTCCCTACAGCCAATTTCCAGGAATGTCATGTTACAAGAATAAGTCTTTCCAAGGCCAGAAGCAAGGTGGTGGAGTCTTGGATGAAGCCTCAGATCCATTCTCAAATTTGCACAATGCTAGCTTAGCTGAAATTCACCCTGGAGTATTTTAGAAAAGCAGATGTCCCACCTTGTCTTTGCTGAAACATCTGTAAAGCTCCAACCACTGTTAAAGACAAACAATTCCTAGGATGGGGAATGAACAGAGCGTGCTGCAGTTTTAGAATAGTCTTATAACAAAATAAGGAACATTAGTCTATTTTGCATGATATACAATTTTTAGCTTGGTTATTATTAGGCAAAAAAAAGGACCAAAAAAAGGAACGATTATTTTTAAATACATTTAATGTTACGAAACATATTACCTTTATATCATTTAAATCCTTGCTAAATCTTATCATCAACAATAATAAAAGTTTTTTAAAAATCTTTTCTTTAATCACACAATATTCTCTTGGTTTTATTCTAGAGCAGAAAATAAACAGAGTTTTCATAAATAAAACACTGATGTGGAGTATAAGACAAACCCAGGCCAGACAGTTTGCTAAAAAATTTGTGAAAAGTGCATCTGGCTGGCTCAGGACTCCCTGAGTAAGGTAGACATTCTCCCACACATCTCTTGGCTGTTTGGCCTCTCGCAAGAAAATCTGAAATAAAGGCTGCCTTTCTAACTTTAAAGGTATTATATATACATGTCACTTGCAGAGTGAGGTAGGAACCAGTTTACAGGGGTTGTATCTAATCTTAGGCCTCATGTCCTTATTGTTGCCCCTCCATTTGCTAGGCAAAAAGATAGGTTTAAGTGCAAAACAAAGCCTTAGCTATCTGTGAACGCAAGCTACTGTTTGCTTTCAATTGCAATTCATCAGCTGATTATAAGGAAGGACAGTTGTCATGATTTTCACCTTCAATGCAATAAGAGGCACAAAAAACTAGATGTAATTTTTTTCCAAAGGATGCCTTTGAAAAAAGAGAACCCAAACACTAGAAGAAAACAGTGTTTCCAGGTGACCTAATCCAAAACTCCATGAAGTTTCTATTTTGTAACTGAACCCAGCCCAGAATAAATTCTTGGTTGAAAAATAGCAGGAACTCAAAAGTGCATAAATTACAAGCTTCATCAATAAATTAAGGAAACAGATTTGCTGCATCCAACTATCCTCCTAACTGTCCCAAGATCCTTTTAATTTTATAATGGGCATGGAAAATCAGAATAAAGATACTACTATTTCAAAACCAAAACTAATCTAAAACCTTCAGTAGATTTCTTTCTGAAATAAGGCATCTTGTCTTTTACTGAAATTCAAAAGATATATAGAAAGACTGGAAGGAGCCTAATAATAAGATAACCCCCTCCTCCAGCACCAATGTGTAAACATAAGCTTTTCCATCCATACGTAGACTTGTAATTCAGAGTGCAAGTTTTCAAGAAACACCAAGCATCTCATTCCCAGGGATGCTGATTGTTGGAGAGCTTGCACAGAAGGAAGGCTGAGGAGAGACCCAGTCCTGAGCAGAAGGGGAGACAGGATGCTTCGGAGAAATTTTCAGCTGTAGTAGGTTCAGCTGTGGGGCTTGCAGCTTCTTTCATGTCTCATACAGACTCCTGTGAGTCCTGCATTCACAGCCTAAGCAGTCTGGTGGCCAACGACTGCAGGAGACCATACTGGAGTGGCGTTTTGGATCCTCATATTGAAGGCTTGGACTCAAGGGGACAGTAATAGCCACATCACTGGACTCCCTTCCACCAGCAATCCATTAGATGTCATGCACAGAGGTAGGAAAAGTGCTTTCATCAGTGTACAAGGACAGCTTTTACTCTGAAGTTCTTAACAGGACTGTTCTTTAATATGAAATTTCTCTTCAGCCTCATAAGACAGGATCATATTAATTCATGGCAGAGATGGATCCATCAGTGAAGCAAGAGGCTGGCATGCCCTTGGAAAAGCACACTTCCTTGAAAAAAAAGGGTAGTTCCCAGTTATTTGTGGTGAATAATTATTTTTCCCTTAGCATAAATTTAAATGCTGGGTTTCCTTCCAGGGAGGTTCTTCATGGAGACACACTTAGTAGAAATAAATTGGTGTAGAGTTTGTGTTTCTGTATCTTAAGCATATTGTGAGTGGAACAGAGTAGACCTAGAAGGCAACTGGTACAGACGTAGCAGCACAGTATTGTGATAAAGCACTTCCACAATAGCACTTTCAAGTACCTTGAACTTCACAGAATCCACAAAAAATTTCCTGTTAAAATCTTCTTTAAAAAGAAGAACATTAAGCTTTGCTCTTTTCCCTTCCAACTTACTGCAAGCATAGAAATACTCCTTTTCCTTAGCTAGGACCTACCCTCAGTCCTTGCTGATCCACTGTTAGCTATCAATCAAGGCCACCGAGCAGAGTGAGCATCCAGGGTCTCAGCTGCAGTCTGTGCAGATCACAGTCTCTAACAAGAATAATAATCATGGGTTCGCTTTGCTAGAAACACAGCTGTGACAGCATTTGCTTCACTGGAGGAAGGAGGTCGTGGCTGAAGAAAAAAAATTTTTTTTCCGGCAAAATGTTTGGGTTTACAAAGCAGGTAAATTGGTAGCTTTAAAATGGTAGTTTAATGACATCAGTTCATAATTTCTGATAAGTGAGAATGTTTCAAGGCTCAGAGATGAGGCAGGCAATCTCATATATTTAGCATAAATTCACAAGGGTTAGGATCTCTGTCAGCAAAAATAGCACTTGCTGCGGCCATAGGTTGCTTCAAACAAAACTACATAGGAATATATATACTAAAAAAATAACCTTTCAGAATTATAGACAAATATGAGTTACATGTAGTCTATGTAGTTAAATCCATTTTTGATTTTGGAATTAGATGCCAGTTTTTGAGGTAATCCAGTCACGGAAATAAGTCACTCGTGTGTAAACTCCAGGTTTATTTGGTTTGGCACATTCATCTCCCCAGCTCACTATTCCCACGAGGTACCACATCAGTCTAGAATCTGGAGTAACCAGTGGTCCCCCAGAGTCCCCCTAGAGAAAGAGGAGGGGAAAAAAAAAGATTTAATTGATCAGAAGGGAAAATAATTCTCTCCATACACAGGAGGGTGTGTCCAGTAAGAGAAGCAAACAAGCAGTATTTCAAGAGCTGCCATTTGTGAAGAATCCAGGTTGTTTCTGAAACTGAAGTTGGAAGTCTGTGGCTTTTTCTTGTTTGCCTTGGAACCTCCTGACCTGCCGCTGTGGTTTTACAGAAAAAAAACCCCAAACAACTTCTCTTCTGTTTTGTGAAACACTGCTTCCCACCCGCCTCGTCTTCCTCCCCATACAAAGTAGGGAAACACAAAGTAGGTCCTGCTTGACCAACCCGATCTCCTTCTATGACAAGGTAACCGAGGCTAGAGGATGAGGGAAAGGCTGTGGATGTTGTCTACCTGGACTTTAGTAAAGCCTTTGACACAGTCTCCCACAGCATTCTCCTGGAGAAACTGGCTGCTCATGGCTTAGACAGGTGTACTCTTCGCTGGCTAAAAACTGTCTGGATGGCCAGGCCCAAAGAGCTGTGGCAAATGGTGTTAAATCCAGTTAGTGACCAGTCATAAATGGTGTTCCCCAAGGCTCAGTATTGGGGCCAGTTCTGTTTAATATCTTTATCAATGATCTGGAATGAAGGGATCGAGTGCACCCCCAGTAAGTTTGCAGCCGACACCAAGTTGGGCTGTGAGTGTTGACCTGCTTGAGGGCAGGAAGGCTCTGCAGAGGGATCTGGACAAGCTGGATCGATGGGCCGAGGCTACAATGGGTTAAGTGCTGGGTCCTGCACTTTGGTCACAACCCCATGCAACAATGCAGGCTTGGGGAAGAGTGGCTGGAGAGCTGCCCGGCGGAAAGGGACCTGGGGGTGCTGGTCAACAGCTGGCTGAACATGAACCAGCAATGTGCCCAGGTGGCCAAGAAGGCCAACAGCATCCTGGCCTGTATCAGAAACAGTGTGGCCAGCAGGAGTAGGGAAGTGATTGTGCCTCTGTACTCGGCACTGGTGAGGCCGCACCTTGAATCCTGCGTTCAGTTTTGGGCCCCTCACTACAAGAAGGATGTTGAGGTGCTGGAGCGTGTCCAGAGAAGGGCAACAAAGCTGGTGAATGGCACAAGTCTTATGAAGAGCAGCTGAGGGAACTGAGGTTGTTTAGTCTGGAGAAGAGGAGGCTGAGGGGAGACATTATCGCTCTCTACAACTACCTGAAAGGGGGTTGTAGTGAGGTGAGTGTTGGTCTCTTCTCCCAAGTAACTAGCGATAGGACAAGAGAAAATGGCCTCAAGTTGCACCAGGGGAGGTTTAGATTGGATATCAGGAAAAATTTCTTCACCGAGAGGGTGGTCAAGCATTGGAACGGGCTGTCCAGGGAGGTGGTTGAGTCACCATCCATGGAGGTATTTAAAAGATGTATAGATGTGGTGCTTAGGGACATGGTTTTTTTAGTTGTGGACTTGTCAGCGTGAGGTTAGTGGCTGGACTTGATGATCTTAAAGGTCTTTTCCAACCTAAACAATTCTATAATTCTACATATATACAGCAATCTAAGCCAACAGGAACTTTTTTTTTTTCTTATGGTAATCACTATCCTTTCAACAAATTCTTTTAGACACTTGCAGCAATACCATTTCAAAAAGGATTTAATCAGAATCTTGGTCTTCTAAGTAGAAGATATTGCCTTAAGATGTTAGCTACTTTCACAAGCTGAATTCAGATACTGTTAATAACATGACACGGTAATAATAGTTAAACTGGAAACCTTACAGGCTGAAAGGCAATCTTCACATAACAGAACAAATTCCCCATCTTCCACCAAAATGTTTTACTGAAATAAACAGCACTTGCACCCTTCTGTTCGGGTCTCTTCAGTGCTGAGCCACACAGGAACAGAGGAATTGAGCTTCCCAGACCTACTGTGCAGGGAGTTTTTCTTTGGGCATAAATATGTAGGACTGGGATTCTGGAAAGGGTCTGTTTTGAACCAGCACTTAGGAGTACATTCTTTGTAAATAACATAAATAGAAATTACCTTTTAAAAAGTTATCATTATGGAATTATTTTTTTTTTTAACATAAGCATTTCCTTGCAACATTTGCAAACCTGCACCCCACATGTATCCTTACCATTCCATTTACACCTAGTTTCCTTACAGTTATCTTTGTTTCAGACAGTTTTTCTTCCACTGATCCAAGACTGTTACCAAAGATCATAACAGATCTGTTATGAGATCATCCAGTCCAGAATTTAATTTCTATAAGTGACAGTGCATTTTTTCTGGCAACTTAACTGCTACATTCTTAAACTTCTTCCTTCCCAACCATACAGATGTCTGATCTCGGCTACTCAAGACTTTTAATTTTTAGCTCAAATTTAGTATTTCAGCATTTAGTATCTCTGTCAATGTCTTGTTATATCACTTTGCAAGCAAATCGTTAGTTAGATTTCACACATAAGAAATTATGAGAAGCAAATGGCCTTGTAGCAGCTATTCTGAGTTACATAATAAGAATTTAATTTCATGCTATGAAATATTTAAGTTCTGAAAATTATACTAATTTGTATCTTTTAGTATGGGTTTCATGTGCTAAATTATGTGTCCTAAATGCTATTTCATTTTACAGCTTAATTCCTGTTTGAATGGAACCTATTTAAAGGACTAATACACTGTCAGTTAAGATTTGGTCAACTAGATACTGGAGCCAGCATTAAAATAGTTTTTCTTTCTAGTTTTCTGCTACAGTTACCTGGCAAGCATCTACTCCTCCTTCCAAGTATCCAGCACACAACATCCTGGGCGTTATGTCCCCATCATACACTTCTTTTCTGTTGCAAGTGTTTGAGTCAATAAGTTTCACTGTTGCTTCCTGAAGAGCATTTGGAGTTGGACCTGAGGGAAAATATAGTTTGGGTATTTATCAACAGAATTACTTTGCAGTAGTTAAGATACAAGAAGAGCATTAAATGTCCTCTTAAGGAGGACCAGCTTGACTTGGTTTAATGTGGAGGTTTTACTTGTTGGTCTAAGTTAGGCCCTTAAGGGAAATGTACATAATCATAGTCTCACTTAGGAACTGTACCATTAAGGCAGAAGTAGTGATCGCATGGTACATAGTGCCTTAAGTGTAAAGCCATATATTTTACACATGTTCCATATAATACTATGGAACACAAATTACCTAGCAATTTGGGATGATGTTATGAAGTGAAGACATCTTGGTTCCATTGCTAAATCTACTACTTAGCGTGGCCTGGTAAAAGTGCAAGTTTGGGTAAGTCACCATCTGCAGCTCACTCTGCAAATTTACCTGCAAGCCCACAGAGTTATCTGTAGCTTTTGGCTAGGGCTTGGAGAATATTTTTTTAGGTGCTATATAAATACATGCATGGCTGGACTACCTGTCTTACGAATTTACAGTATGAAATGGAAAGGCTGGAAAAAAGAGAACAGTCGTCTTCCTGTTTTCTGCTTCAGTGGATTGTAGCTTTGTTTTTGTCCAGTCTCATTTTAGAACAAGAAACTGCTGCTTATGATTAAACAAAACCCCATTGCTTATAGACAAAGCATGAGGCTTGCTGCCATAAAACATATGGCTACAGAAGTGGTATCAATTCAGTAGTAGATCAGAGCCACTGTTTATGTAACATATAGGTCACCTGGTAGACTCGTGACTCACCATCATTGGTAAGTGCTCCCCAGCCTGTGATGACAGCATAAATATTGTACAGAAAAGTCTGAGATGGCTCAGGCAGACAAACACGGTGTATGCTACTCGTAAACTCAACTCGTTTAGAGAGCTGCACAAGTGCAATATCATAATCATGTTCTGGGTAGCGGTACTTTTCATGAATAATAATAGTCTTGACTGATCGTTTCAAACTTGGTGGCTTCAAAAGGGCTCCAAAAGTAGCAGTCCACTTCTGAGGGTGACTCATGCTGAAAAAGGTAAGAGTAAGTATTTAGCAGTAAACGCAAGCGTTTGGGACTTTAAACTTGGTGCGCGTCTTTATTGTAAAGCTCCTTCAAGCCAGCTCCCTACTAGATTCTTAAGGTGTCCATCATGTTCCATAACACTGTCCCACATAATTGTGGGCTGCTGCTAGAAGAGGGCAATCCTGCATTCCCTCTTCAACCATGGTCTCATACTCCTCCCCTGCTCCTTGTCCCTGGCCTAGCCATTGTGTGGCCACAGGGTGTAATCAAATCAAAAAGCTCTTCTGCTAGCATACCCTTCATCGACAATACTCTTTTTGCATGTTAATAATCTGTTTAATCAGCTGTTCCATTTTACATGCCCTGCAGCTTTACAATTGCTGTGCTTGAAACAAAAAAGTGCTGGGAGTTCATGGCTGAATGGAGGGGTAGGAATGTGGGATTATAACTTCCGGTAGCAGCCTGCAGCGGCAGCAACCTAGTTGTAACACAAAGGAGCACCTTTAGAAACATTTAGTGCAACAGGAGACAAATACTCTATTTCAGTCACATTACCTTTTCCGCACTGCTTTGCTCAATATGCTAAATGACTATAGATTTCCACTCATACAATTGCTGGTTCTGCTCCAAAGAGTCAGTCTTTAATTTTTCATTGAAACGTTCAAGTGATGGGTCTGCTTAACCCTGACTTTCCTCCTCCAAGGCAGAAAATTGTTCCCCTGGAAAGAGGATGTGGAGGAAAGGGGTGTGGTGCAAATCTGGAATGCCACACAACTTGGTACACAATGGGGCGCATTCAGCTGCAGATTTTCTCTAAGAAGGAACTTACTCTCTGAAGCAGTGAGCTGCAGATACAAGCCACGTATTGCTGATGAGTGTTGCACCACAGCGATGGATATTACCGTACTGCAAACTAGCTTGCCATGGCCAGTCCCCAGTCTCTGCAGAAGACAATCCGCCGACTATTCGCAATGATGATGATTTTGCCATTGACTTGACTGATCTATTCTGCCGTAATCCACAGACTGTCAAAAAGGAGAAAAAGTGTATTAGCTATTCTTCTGTTTAGAAAATATGCCTGCCAATGGCTGTGGTAAACGTATGTAAAATTACACACCACCTAGGTTCTCTAATAGTATTAATGTCAACAAGAAAACATACCTTCCACCAGCCCCGCAAATCAGAGATCATCATGCACAACCCATTCTGTTAGAAGCCTGAATGAACAACTGACTATTATGGAAAGCCATGATGGTCAACCATTCAGGCTTAGCTGCATGAACAGCCCAAATCAGTAATCAAAACCTTCACCACACACCCAAGACAATTCCCAAATACAGGGATTGCCAACTTTCATGTCCCAGGTAATTTGTCATTAGGATAAAACATGAACAAGGCAAAATCTAAGATGGGAATGATCCAAGCCATGGGTTTTTACCACGCATGCACACAGATTATATCAGCAAGATGTCATCTGGAAACAGGCAACTGCACATTGCACAAATGGCAGTCTGCAAGTGGACCTGGAGAGGCACTTCAGGCAAAGAGCGTCATGCTAACTGAAGCCAGAGATGACAAAGGCATGGATACCTCCATCATGGTGTGCATCCATGACAAAAAGTATTATCCTCCAAACCCAGACAGAAATGAAAATACCCGTGATTTCAGCCACTAAACTCAGGATATTCAGGAGCAGCTGAAGCTCCCCCATAGCTTTAGAAACTTCCTCAATGGACAGAGCTGCTTCAGCTGTCTTCTCCCATCCAAACAGCATCAAATCCATCTTACCTGGACCAAGACCCACTAGTTTTCATCCAGGCCCCGATTTCAGCTAGACATTAGGAAAGTTGACAGACAGGACTATCCCAAATTCATTGAAAAAGAGACAGAGCTAAGAATTATTTCCATAACAACACAATCCAAACCATTGCACTGCCTGTCTTCTGCAGACAGCGACCCAGAGGGGGACAAAGCAGAAATCGGTAGTACGTCACTGGAGAGCTGCCAGCCCCAGGGCCCTTGAAGTCCTCAGAAGCGAAACACTGGAGCCACACAGAGTGTAACCTCTGCCCCTTCCTGCTAGGATCTGCACAAGGTTATGTTAACAGTACCTCACAGTCAAAAGCAGAAGCAATAATACAGCAGATTGAAAGCTGTTCATAAATTTTAAAAAGAAAAAAAAGAAAAAAGTCATCATACAATATGGAGACACTCACCTGCTCAGTGTAGAGCCTGCCCTGTTCTGAGATTTAAAACCACAATGAAGGAAATCAGTGAAATCTAAATTTACTTGTCCAAAACTTGCCGTGTGAAAGGAAAACTGGAGAATATACCATAACTGATAAGACTGCACTAGCATGTTTCCCTCCTGAAAGCTATTGGTAATCCTCAGTTACTGGTCCTAAAACCACACAACCCTATCAACCACCTGAGCAGTCAATGTTCAAAACACAGGGAAAACCTCACAGGTCCATCAGTGCCCCAGAACACCAGTACCTAAAATGGACCCAAAAAGTAATGTTATTTAATCTTCCATTACTTAGCAGCCTGCTGCTAAGGAACTGATCAAACCTTCCCAGAGCTAGAAGAAACCCAACTTGTAAGCAAAGATGGCTTTTTATGACTATTAAATCTCAAAACAAGCCAACTTCCTTCTCTGAAAGCTTAAAAACATCTCTGAAACAAACTACCTCAACTTAATCCCTACAGCAATACCTTGAGAAGACCAATCATATTGCTTTATATTTCCATAAGGAACAATTTTCTGCTACTAGCCAAATCCAAAATCCAGAACACCTTCACTAAAATCACAGGCTGATGTAACTTCCATACATTTCCTTATGGTTCTTCCTTCCTTCCAATGCACGCTAAAGACAATTACATACTCCCAGTTTCTGAGAGCACACAGAAAGCCATTATTCCAAACTCTTCTGCACATGCCCAATCCTACCGGCTTTTGGGGCACTTCTCACTCGCAGGCTGTGTTAGAGGTCTCTGCTAGGCTGCCATCCTTAAAGCACCAGTTGAATAACATGCTGGTACATATCCAGGTGTAAATCTCATCACTTAATGTGCATACAGGAAAACAACAGGTAGCAAAGTAGAGACAAATTCTTATGCCACAGCATCCAAGACAGGTGTATATGAAACAGATTCTGCAGTCGCTGCTGCAAGAGGCAGTTCTAGTACTTTACATCAGGGACACAGAGGATGGGGTGTCTGCCCTGTGCAGGCAGGATTAGACTTGAAGTATTCTATTTAAGATGTTTTAATCAATTTATAATAGAGATTGCTTCTAATTATAATCTGCTCAAATATAAAATGCACTCAAATCCATGATAAGGGCTCTCCTGCCTTTACCACATTATAGTACACCTTTCAGCTAGCTGCTGTGCCTGACATTAAAGCAATGAACTAGCCCAAGCAATTAATTTCCTTTATTGGAAGTCCTCCTCACTCACTCAATTTTACTACATACACACAGGAGTCATCTGAAATATCTTCGCTTTCATGTAGAAACACAGCTTAGTCTCTGCATGTCCAAATACACAATTAAGCAGACACAGCATAAAAGCTCTCACTGGTACCAACAGTACTAACTGGACCAGGCTAGTAAATAAACAAGTGTCTGAACATTACAGTGCTCAGCCCTCACTGGCTAAGTCCTCTGTTTCCTAGATGGCAGGGTTTACATTTAAGATGCACCCTCCACCTTTCACACCAGCACCACTGGAGGCAGAAGCGTGCCATAGGATCATGCAGCAGAACCTGCATATCTCCTCTCTCCCCAACGCTGGGGATTTCTATAGAGCCCTGAGCACTTGCTCTTTTCTTGACATTTGCTCTTTTCTCACAGAATTGCTGATATTTTTAACAGAAGGAACACCTCACTGAAAAAAACTGACCAGGGAACTCGGCATTGGTGTAGACTTTTTGTAGAAGGGATTATTACCCCATCACCACTATTTTCAAGCCAGTCTTCTTAAGTATCCCAGAAGACACTAATAAAAAAAGGCTTCCTTATGACTGAGATGGATTTCTATCTGTGTGAAGTACAAGGTTACATTTATTAGACAGGAGGATGAGAAAAGGCTTTTAAGGGCCAGGAAAAGTGCTCAGAGACTATTAATGCTAATTAAAACAACCAGAGATTTCCCAGGCTTAAAAAGCCCTCACTTACTGTCATTGAAGAGGGCTTCTGCTCTTTTCGCCTCCATACCTGAAACAAACAAACAGTCAGGGTAAGGCAAGGACAGCACAGACAAGGTTTCCCATGTACGTGGTTCATTCCCACCCGACAGCTATTTGAGTACAGAGCACCGCAGGGGGTATGGCTGAGGGGGGCTGCTAGAGAAACCACTGTAGCTCATAAGTGGTCACATTCTTGCACTGGCTATTCCACTCCTCTCTATGGTGCTGCTTGCAGTTCTCCAGCCAGCCAATATCCTCTGAGGACCATGCGCAGGGTCTCCCCCATCCTGCTGGACCCTGATGCTTCTGGAGGGGAGTACAGACAAAACAAGCCCTGTATTACTCAAGATCCACAATTTTGTTGGGGAAAAATTTTTTTACAGTGGAAGTTTTGAAGTTCCTTTTGTGTAAAAAAATCAACTGGCAGCATTTTACACCAGTGAGGGCCAGAGGAGATCTGGTACTCACTCTGTGCTCTCTTTGAGACTGGAAGGCACTGACTTCACTGCAGCGATGCCAGCTGACAATAGCAGTGGCTCACCCTCCTTTCCCCAATCTTATCGAGCAACAGGGTGTCTGGTACACTACTAATACTAAAAGAGATAGTTAATATCAATTTATTGCATGGCACAGCAGGTTCTGGCAATATATTCCTTCCTTTAACATGCATGCTGCATGTTTATGGATGATACATGCTCATGCTGACAATAGCAAGCACTGGCTCAAGGTATAAGGCCATTCCCCTTCATTCCCTTCTTCAAGAATGCTGTTTTTACTAGAGCTACATTTTAGTTGCCAGCAGTCAAAGCAAATTTAAAAAACAAAAAAAATAATCATACTTGCAATACAATTTTTAAATTGTATATAGATTCTTGTAGAGTATCTACAGCTTCACGTTATGCAGCTGGATAGTCTTTCTCAGCAGATCCCTGTCCTTATCCACTTAGTTAATTTCTCTTTTCTCTTTGCAGCTACACAGAATAATATCCTAGTTTTAATCCAAAACCACACCAAGCAGGAGGAGTCACTTTTGAATGCAAAGGGCTCTGGCTCATCCTTGTCACCTACTGTGCTTGGATCACTTGTGTTTTGCTCGTGGGCTTGACACTTCTCCTGGTATGCAGAGTGAATTGCATGTTTGCAATCCACCATTACTAGATGTGTACTCATTAATTTCTTAATATGATATTAAGCGGATTATGATAGAAAAAGGAAACAAACAGAACTCCAGTGCATGTACAGCTTGACTGTGGGGAATGTTACAGAGCAAAGGCAGTGCTAGGGCTGCCGTATGCGAATGCAGCCGCTGCTTTATTTTGTAAGAATGGGAGATGAATTACAATTGGACATTTATATAGCAACATAGTCTTATTCATTATAAACAGGAACTGTTCACATAATAAAGATAAGTAAGTTTTACTGGTGTGCAAGCAACAATTTGCAAGGTCCCCTTTAGTAAAAATGCTCTCTTGTACTTTCTCAATTCCTATGAAAGGAGGAAAACCCTAAAGTACAGGTACTTCTGCATTTCAGGAATGTCAGTTGTATTCCATAAATTTCCATGGATGATATGGTTGGTTGTTGCCAAGATCCATTACACCAAAACATAGTAACACCAGAGAGTAAAAGCTGGGCCACCAGAGGGATTCAGCGGTGGTGTAAACATTACTGTTTGGTAAGTTACAAAGTGAGGGGAAAAAAATGGATGCTGAGCTGTGCTAAGGATTTGGCTACTTCACCTATATGTTTATATTGGCAAGAAGTGCTTTGAAATACCTGGCCCTACTTATTTATTTCAACTATGATGAGCATCTAATGTTTTCCTAGAAATTCATACAACCTTCAGAACTAGCTCATTGTTTGGGTCACTAACATTTTATAGCTGGAAACTGGTAAGAAACCAACAAATGTAATCATCAATGAAAGAGCACTTTTTGCCTTCAAGTGCAATATTGATAATAATGTCTTTTTTGCTCCTCTCTGGGTGGAGAGACATTTACCTCATAATGCCTAATTATAAAGCCTGTAGTCGATTATTAACACTTACATTATGTTGCAAAGCTCATCGAGAAGACAAAAGGAGCAACCAGCTTGTTCAAGTGCAGTGCCGGAAGCAATTCAATTGGCATGTTCTCACTGCACTGAGTTTTGCTGTGAGTCACGCAGCTGTTCTGCAAGGCACCTGTCTATACCTCTGTTTGCCTTTTTACGAGGCACCTAGAAAAAAGTACAAGCCTCACATGGGCAAAATTTTACCCATTGCTCCCAGTTAGACCAACTTGTGTGTAATTGGAGAAACAAGTCTTACACACATAGACTGCAAGTCTTAAATAGCATGTCTGTACAGCTTTGAATTTTTGTATATTTTATAATGTATCACAACTATGCAGCTGATGTACTCTCCCACCCACCCACTGCTGAAGGAAAAAGGCCAGCGACACCTGTCAATAAATTCAACACTGTATTCACCAGGGTAGGGGCACAGCTTTGCTTTAGAGATCTGCCCGATACAGTGCCCTGTCCATGTATCTCACACTGGGAGCTGGAACACAAGTACTGAAGAAACCACCACAGCAATGGAGAAAACCTCAA